GATTAAGTAATTAAAAGTAAATAAAGAAAAAAAAAAAAGGTAAAAGTGATTTAAATATTTATTAAATTTTAAGAGATAAAACATGCTAATAATTATGTAGAAAGTAGTTTTTACATAAAAAATTTTCTAGATATATTAATCATATTAAAATACGATTTTACTCTTATCGATATTCGTAATTAAAATTCGTAAATAAATTAAAATTTTTTCGATAAAAATTTCTTTACTAAAAACATTTTACAAAATAGACTACTCTATAAAAATATTTTAATTAAAATAATTTCAAATTAATTAACTTAATTAAATGATATTTTTTATCATGTAAGAAGCCAAACATAAACAAAATAAATAAAACAAAATAAAATTTACTTAAGAATTAAACTAAACTTGTTTAGTCTAGAAATTTTATGTTTTATGTTGTTTAAAATGCTCATAGTTCGTTAATTTAATCAAAAATAAATTTTTTATGGAGTAATATCAGCTTATATTAAAAATTTAATAACTCTATTTTTTGATTATTCTTTATAAATGGAATAATATAGAATATTAAGATTATAATACAGACTGAATATTTATAGATGAATATAAGTAAAGAATGGAGAAGTCTTCATATTTATTTATATTATATTATATAAAACAAGGAAGAAGATGCTTCAATATGTAATTCAGGGAGAAGTGAAATATAAATCTCCAAGGTTTATATATGAAAATTTATTTATGAAATTATTATATATTTTTAATAATAAGTATGTTTACTTTTTGTTAACTAAAAACGTTTATTAAATAATTAAAGTTATTTTTGAATTTTCAGTTTTAAAGTAGCTTAAAAACCACTCATAATTTTAGTCTAAATCGAATTTTAGGAAAATACGAAAAAATTCTATAATTAATAACCAATCACAGAACATTATATACAAGTAATAAAAAGTATTTGTTGTAATTAAAGTGCAATGTCAGCTGCGATTTTACCATAAATTAGTATTTAAAACAGATACATAAAAAATAAATTAAAATAAAACTAGACATTTATATTGTAATAAACGATATTAATTGATTAAACTTAGAATGTATAGTTTAAAAAATTGAATTCAATCTTAAAAATACTTTAAAATTCATTAGAATTAAAAGTGAATAACATATTTGGAAATATTTTATAAATTATAAATTCATTTAATAACATTCGAGATAAGAGTATTCGAAAAAGTTTTATTAAATTTTTGTTATTTATTATATTTAATATTACACGAAGATCTATAAATGCGAAGAATCAATATTGTTTTTATTTATTTATAGTTTGAGCTTTATATTTATATAAGTAACATGTTTAATGTTTTTTTACTAGAAAGCATCTCATCGGATTTAAGGTTTGTTCTCATCATATTGTAATCCAGACTCTGTTCGACAATCAATCATCAATAGGTCAATGTTGCAGAGAGTTGTCCAGTTTTATTTCAAAGTTATTCTCTTGTCTTTTACTCCTAAATTGATTAAAAATCGTTATTTTAAATTCTTCTTCTTTTATTTATCACATTAATATGAGACATGTTTAAAATATTTCTAGAGAATTATATTAATAAAATCTTTAATTTTACTTTTTTAAAACTCATAGATTCATTTACAAAATGAAAGTTAAACTTACAAATTTAGAAAGTTTGTTCTTAGACAAATGTTTCTATTCATAGTTATGAATGAAAACATATGTTCAGAAAATAATGATATATAGAAAACATAATGGTAAAAGTCTTTTGGTTAGGAAATACTTCTATTCATTTACATGAATAAAACTTTCCTAACCGAAAGATAGTTACCATTATTTAAAAAAAAAATTGTTAAGCTTCAACTGGAGAAAGATAAAGATAAATGAAGAGAGATGAACAAAGTTTAATTACTGATGCAAAACTATCTATTAAAATAAGAAGGGATAGAATATATTAAATTAATATGAAAAAAAATATTTTATTTTTAGCCATTTAATTATCATTTGCAACATGTTAATGTTAAGAAAAAATGGGAATTTGTTAAAGAATTGCACATATATTAATTTAATTAATATATTTAATAAAAATATGCTAATTTTATCAGTCGAATGAGCTTTCATTAAACACGAGAATTATATTAATATAGAATAAATGTTAATAATTAGATTCAAAATCTAAAAATATGTATTATATGAAATATATATTTTTATAATGAAGGAAAGTTATTCTTATATAGAAAACGTGTATTAAAATATGTTCATATTGTTATTGATTTATTTAAATACAATTTGAAATAAAGAACTTTAACTACGAATATTAATATTTATAATTTACTGTCTTTACTTAAACATTTATATGTTGTATTTTTTTTTTACATATAACTTTGTTTTGTATCTTTAAAAAATGTCTATATGTATTTAAATTAAAATCCGGAGCTAATATTAAAATCAAAAATATAAAAATATTGTTACTTATTTAAACTTTATGCATATTAATATATACTAAACACATTATTAAAATATAAAATTTGAATTATAAATTAAAATTTATAAAGCAATTTCATTTAAATTATATACTTATTAGATTTAGGTTTTTGTAAATTTTGTAAAGTGAATATAAAAAAGTTTAGAATTTTTATACATAATATTCATTTTTAATTAAAAATTTTGAGTAGAAATTTGAAATTTTCCAAACAATTATAATAACAATAGCATTTTAAAGTTCTTTCCTTTTTTATATAAAAGTATCGATATTCTCTTCTTACTCAGCACAAAAGAAATAAAAAAATATATTTCATAGTTTCTCAAATGATACTATTTTTTGCTGATACGACAAGTATCTCTCTGATATAACTTTTTTTTTCATTTTTAATCCAGAAAATACTTTCTCTTAATATCTCGGTGGTACGTCTTGACATCTTTTCAACCAAACACGTGTTAAAGCGACAGTAGTTGGTGCAGGTCATCGTTACCAGACTAACAGGTGGATGATAACATCAACTGTTTTTCTAGTAATTGCTGTTGCTGTCACTAACACTCTCAACAATTTTCAATGGCGATGATCAATTATTTTTAAATTAAAAAAAATTTATAATATTTTCTGATACAATAATGATAAGTCTATGTTTGTTACAAAACAGAATAAAAGATGTTCAAAGAAAAAAAAAATAGAGACTTTTCCCAGAAAAACATTTTTATTGTACTTCTCAGAGTACATATGAAATCTGTCACAGATTTCAGTTAACCTTCACGAGCGAAAGTATAGTGGTAACTCGAAGAACATTCCAATAGATTACAAGATAATGATTGGAAATCGTTATGTTTCAATCGAGAATCAAAAATTATCACCGGAGATCACAGTATTGGACTGAATTTCTTTGCTTTAATCAAAGAAATGCTACATGAACATGATGAAAAATAAAACACGGAAGAAAAATAACTTAAACGAACAACTTAATCGTCGGATGCTGATTCACAATCTCAAGCATTTTGTACTTGTTCCAACGGTTTTGTTGTTATGACGGCAGTCCTGATGATCCCTTGTGGAAGAAGTGGAATCGATTCTGGCACCGAGTTTCCTGGAAGTGAAGAATTTGGTGTTTTCGATGTTGGAGACTTCGGAGATACAGAATTTAAAGTCCGACCTTGAAACTGTGATGGCGGCGATACGTAACGAGGTGATGGAATGCTACAATTGGCATCTGTGGTTACAGGTAACACACGAAGAAGTGGTTGTTTCAATTGAGGTGTAGTATTCATTGGAGGACCAGTGTATGATCTTGCCAACTGTTAAAGAAAAGTGATATTTAAGAAAATATATAGAATATAAAAATTATATCACATTTTAAACAATTTTTGACACAATAATAAGTAATAAAATTTCGCTCACAACGAATAGGTAAATTGACCAAAGACTACTCAAATACTATCCAATTAATCATTTTATTATTTGAGAAGTCTTCAGCTTTTGTTCGGAAAATTCTGGAAATCAGTTCTGAGATTCAACTTCTCGACGTTCTCAAAGAAACCAGATTGAGCTATTTTGCCAATCTTCATTTTGTATTAGGTAGCATTATAAATCTTGGCAATTGACAGTAAACAGTGATATTTGACTTTATATGGTCACTTAGACTAAAGTATTATATGCATCAAAGAGTATTTAGACAACAGCTATAAAATAAGCTATTACTGAAAATGATTAATTTAAAGTAATTTTAAGAACAATTTATATTCAAGAAATAGGAATAAACTAAAATAATAATTATTTTTTAAATAAAAGATTAACATTTACTCAGAAAATTATTTAAATTAAAAATATAGAGAGAATAATTTTGAATCTCTCCATAGAAAAAAAAAATGTATAAAATGTATTTCTATTATTTATTAAATTTTAATCTAAAAATAATAATTCTGTGTATATTAAATGTCATCAGTAAGAAATATATTTTATAAAGAGGAAAATGATTTTACTTTAAATTTATTGAATAGGCAATTCCAATAGAAATATGTTTATTTAGATAATATTACGACTAAGATAAAAATCTTTAATGTTAAATAAATATTAAATTTACTCATAATTCAAAGAAAATCATTGACTATCAACTATCAATATCCAATTTCAAACTGCGAAATGTTTAGATAATAATTCAACAAGTAAAGAAAGAGATTTAAAACAATCTCAAGCTGCCAAATCTATATTAAAGTTTACATTAACTCTATTCTGGTTTAAAAAAATATATATATATTAAAGTACATTTTACTTTATTTTCGATATTTTCAATTGGATTAATGGCTGGAGAACTTCCAAGTCATGAAGAAGACTAGCATGATATATTGCGTTTACGGTATTTATTTTTGGATCCAAAACAAATGGAAAAAGACAATTTGTAAAAATAGAAAAGATAACATTACAATTATTTCCTATCATTTTCGATAATTTAATTTAAGATTAAATAATTGTAAATACTTTACTATATTTTCAAATAACAGATATTCCTGAAGAGTTAGTAAACGTATATAAGGTATTATTTTTATTGATTTTCCAATACATTTACTTTACATATCTGAAAATTATAATAATCTTTATTAAGAAATTTAATCATATTTAAAAAGATAAATTACAAAAATAGACGATTTTCTTCTAAAAATAATATAATTGAAGAAAATATTGTACAGTACATATTATGTAAAATATAATTTAAAATATTTGGTAATAAAAAAATAATTTTAGTATATTTTATATTAACTTTCTATAATATAAATAAGAATTTTTTTTTTTTAAGACTAGACGAATCGAAATGTAACACATTACAAGACTTTAGATAAAATATAAGTAGATGTTTTCTATTCATTTATTAGAATTTGTGTTGTTTCACATCGATTGTTTTGGATCAGTCGGCAAAGTATACGATTCCCACGAGCACTTGAAATCCTAGTCCGACTTATGCCTTTTTGTCTTTCTACATTTCCTTTCTTTTACAAATGTTTCGAAAACACAAAAATGTGATTCACTTTATTCGATTTTTTTAGTGAATTTGGTGATTTTTATGTAATTTTTAATATAAAAAAATTAATCATAAATTCACATATTTTCAGTTTATTTTAACTGATTTTTTTTAAAAGTAAAACTTAAAATCATATGCAATATTATCATTCCCTGAAATTTGTTAATATATTTTTACTTTTTTTTAATAAAGTATTATTATTATATATTTAATTAGCAAATATCAAACAATAAATAAAATATGCCTAAATAAAACAATATATAACAATTAATGTATTATAGAACTAAAAAAAATTTATTTCCTCTGAGATTAAGCATAAAATTCTAATTTAATTCAAACATTTTCTTAAATTCAAATTTATGTTATTCTCAGATAAAACTGCAATAAAAACATCAATATAAATAATTTTTCGTTTCTATTTTTTTTAAATCAAAATAAACCATACACGAAATTTCAAAGCGAAGAAAAATAGTTTAGCAATTGGAATTTTCATGGGATTTTAAAGAAAAAAAAAATTTGATATTTATACAAATATCACTTCTGCACAGAAGAATAAATAAATAATTTCAATAATGTGTTAAACCATTAAAAATTTTATTATTATCATTATTCATTAAAAATTTTTATGATTAAATAAATAAGCAATTTCGATTAAACATTTAAATAAATATAAGACCAAAAAAAAAAAAAAATATTANTCATTTTTAATTAAAAATTTTGAGTAGAAATTTGAAATTTTCCAAACAATTATAATAACAATAGCATTTTAAAGTTCTTTCCTTTTTTATATAAAAGTATCGATATTCTCTTCTTACTCAGCACAAAAGAAATAAAAAAATATATTTCATAGTTTCTCAAATGATACTATTTTTTGCTGATACGACAAGTATCTCTCTGATATAACTTTTTTTTTCATTTTTAATCCAGAAAATACTTTCTCTTAATATCTCGGTGGTACGTCTTGACATCTTTTCAACCAAACACGTGTTAAAGCGACAGTAGTTGGTGCAGGTCATCGTTACCAGACTAACAGGTGGATGATAACATCAACTGTTTTTCTAGTAATTGCTGTTGCTGTCACTAACACTCTCAACAATTTTCAATGGCGATGATCAATTATTTTTAAATTAAAAAAAATGTCTTATTTTGATTAAAATTTTAATTAAATTTTTTAAAAATATTTTTGATTATTAATTTTAAAAAAAAAATTCCAAACTAGAATTGTTTTAACGATCGATATGTTTATTCAAAATCACGAATTTTAACAAAAAATATAAATTATTTTTCTAAGCCAAAACTTATTACTATTTTTTCCTCGAATAATGAATTTATCAAAATTTATCTTCTTTAAGATAAAAGAAGATTTATATAAATAAATCTACCTTAGATAGAATACTTAAAATGGGAATCATGAACATATCTGTTAGATGTTCTTATCGTAGCTCATAAACAATTCTCACGAATCACAGCTTAATGTATTCTACGATAAGACTTAACCAATATTTTTTATTCGATAAAATATGAAGATTTAAACGTCAAAAACTATTGCTATTGAACAATCGAGATATTTTCTGTATTATTTCTAAGAAAATTAAGTCGTATTCTGATTTTTATGTTGAAAAAAGACAGCTTGAAAATTAGAAAATGATATTGCTGTTATTTATTTAATAAAATATAAAGATAAAAAAATTAAAATTAAAAAAAGAGAAATTATTTTAATGTATTTTTTTAGAAGTATAAAACATTTCCTAAATATATTTATACGATTATTAATTTTATTTTGGTGTATTCTTTATGTTTTAGCTTCTTTTATTGATTCATTATCTTTAATGTTTGTATTCTTAAAGAAATTCTTTTTCTTCTTTATAATTAATTTAATAAATAAATTTTTAATTACTATTGTTCGCAGTATAAAAGATTCTTGTCAATTATAATAATGTGGTTGAGAGAATTAATATTAAATGAATTACTTTTGTGATATTCACAACTTTAATCTCTAACGGTTGTTGAAGACCTTTATCTTATGTAAGAATAATTATGCCATTAAAAATCAATTTTAAAATGAAATTTATAAAATTCATTAAAATCAAATTTAAAAAATTTTCTCACATTCACGAAAAATATAATTGTTGAATGATAATTTTTATATATTCATTAATTTTAAGTGAATATTTAATTATTAAAAACAATAAATATTTATTTAAAAGTGTTTTTCAAATCGAAATAAATTTACTTTTATGAGAGTAAATAGTAGAAAATGTATTTCTATGTGAAATAATTCTTTTAAATTGGAATAAATTTCTATTAAAACGTATTTTTTATTCGAAAAAAATCATTTTAAAGTCTAAAAAAACATTTCAGGAAGTTAAATATTTCATTAAAATTATATAAAGAATTAGAAATTGAAAAGTTTACATCCCAACGACATAATTTTCTACTTAGTAAAAAAAAAATTCAACAATAACAAAACCAATTTATTTTATAATTTGAGATAAAGATATTTTCTACAAGTAAAAATATTTTACTTTTAATATAAAAAAAACATTTTTTTTAATAAAGATTAGAGGAAAATATAATAGAATGCTTACAAATTATTTTCATTTTAATTTCAATGTGGTGAAAGTAATTTGAAAATGTGAATATAGGTACGGAGTAACAGTAAATAAGCGGTAAAGAATAGCTACAAAATTTAATTTTCGATAAAATAAACCAGAATAAAAATAGGTACGGAATTAAATTTTTGAATCATGCATAAAAAGTTGAATATATATATAATTAAATTACTTTAGAAGCTGGGTAAAAAAAAAGAAGGAAATTTTCCTTTATTAAAGTTATAAGAAAATAGAAAAAAAAATTTCATATTGCTTAAAATAACATAATTGTTTCTGACTAAAATCTTAGCTCGTCATTAAAGTAAACTTCATCATCTTTGTCATGTAAAATTAATGGTTTAAGTAAAAAAATATACTTATAAATTAAATTTTCGAAGCAAGCTATTAAAGTTAAAAGAGAAATTGAAATTAGAATATATCTGAGATGACAACAAAAGTGTTCGTTAATGAGTTTTAGATGTTTCTTTTAAAAAAATAATAATTTCTTGTTTTAATTGTCTTCCTTTGATTGGAGACTAAAAACATTTTTAAGTAATTTTTATATATTTTATTTTTAAAAAAGTTAGGAAAACGTATTCAAGAAGTCTTTTTTTTTCAAAGCACTTTTATTTCTTATTTTGCTAAATTTAGTTTTAGATAAGCCACAGTATGTTGCAGTTGTCATAAATATAATTCAGTGTTAAAATATTGATTCACTCGACTGACATATATATAGATTTATGCATAAGTTTATACTACTTTAAATAATGAAGTTAGCTTCAAGTAAAAAAAATTGTTGAATTCTGTTCAGTGAATCCTAGTTCTTATTTTATATTAAAGTTTTATTATTTTTCTATATTACTAGTGCTCTTACTGGTTAGATAAACATATAAATAAATTTATAAAATCAGCTTGATTGCAGTAAAAATAAATTTATTTTAAAATTCTATGATAAATATAACATAAGATAGCAAAATAATCTAATTTAGAAGAGAGTAAAAGAAAAGTTTAAAATATTTCTAACTGAATTAAGATGCACAAATAATTACATAAGTGATTTTTATTTTATTAAATATTAGACCTATACGTTAATAATTTAAATTTAAAAAAAAATTTATAAATAATTTTCTTATTTTATTGTAAAAATTCAATGAATGGCTATTCGATAAAAATTATTTTAAAAAATTTAAGAAATTAAAATTATAAAAATGCAAAATGACCTAAAAAAAAGATAAAATATATTCAAAAAGTAATTCTTTAAAAGTTTTTAAAGTTGGAAACTTCAAAAATTGGAAAACATCAGGAGAAGTGAAATAAAGTGAAAAAGTTCTAACGAAATAATATTTTATAAACTTTTTCTTTTTGTTGTTTTAGGAGAACTTTATAGAAAGGTTGTTTCAGACATTCGATTTTTTCCGAGATGTTTGCAATATCTTTATTTTCTTTATTGTCAGATAGTTGTTAGGAACTTTTGATACAATATATTCTGTCAAACTGTACTCTTAGATTTTGCTGGTTGTGATAGTTTATAGAAAGAGAACTTCGATGTTGAGACGTTGATGTATGAGAGTGAGAAGCAGTGAAATGGTGGCCCGCTTGTCTCTGACATATACAGAGAACGTCGTGTTCTAGAAGAAAAATTTATTCCAAACACTAAGATGACACAATTCTCTATTCTTTGCACAAGGTTATGATTTACTCAATTTTACTTGGAAGTTGATATATTAAGCTCATACTACAATGAAAAATTTCAAATTTTGAAAAAAAGAAAATTACTAGCAATATTTTTAGAAAACATATAAATATCTTTTTTTTTTTATTTTATCTTACCGAATGCTTTCTGCTTCTTGGTTTTGTAACAGTTGCACTATTCTCTCTTTGATAATATACGCTAGCAAAGATGAGAACGTTAAGAATGAGAAGAGAGCAACCGACAGCGATAGTGACACTTAGTGCAGTTGAATAAACTCCAGAAGGAACCACATTCTCCAAACTTTCGGTTGGCTGGACGGTTGGGGTGATGACATCGTTTTGGTATAATGATGTCACTCGAGGGGGTTGCCTTGTGGCGCGGAGCCTAGGCCGAGTTATGTAGAAAGTATGTGGAGGTGGAGGTGGTGGTTTCCTAGTCGTAGTGGTAGTAGTCGGTTGTAGAGTAGTTGTCGTTGTTTGAGGCATGTTTAATGGCACCTGCCTTACAATGCCGTCGTAGGTTTGAGCGTTATCATGATCTTCCAGGAGATGATGTTGAGGTGCTGCACCAACTGCAATTGTTTGGTGTAGAGTTGGAAAAAGATGCAACCAGACAGACAATCTATGAGCGTGATAATGATCTCTGACTTTAGGTTTTGTTCCTGACAAAAAGAAAAAAAAAATAGAACCATTAAAATGATAAAATTTTATTAGATAGAAATAACTTTATGAGTACTTTCAACTTGTATCTAAAGTGATGTTATAGAACGAATACTTAATGTAAACATTTTTATGAGTAAATTGAATTTTGTAGAAGTGTCGCAAATTTGATCAGCTAACAAGAGTTGAGGTTAAAAGTTCTTATTCACACGTCTTTCAAAGTCCCTTCAGCATTTAATAGCCTGGAGACTTTTTAAAACTCGATATTACATTTTAAAAAATGAATTTTTTAAAATTATGTTTTGAACTAAAGAAAAATTTAAAACAAATTATTATTATTCTTTTTTTTAAGTGAATATTTTAAATAAAATTTCATATTCTTTAAAATTGAAAAATTTAAATAAAGATTATAACATTAAATTAAATGTTTTTTTTTTAAAAAATAGTTTCAAGTTCGTTTTTAAAATAAACATTAATATATTTATAAATTATACATTATAAAACTTTTATATAAATCTAAAACCTAAACTGAATTAAAGTAAAGAGTAAAAACTTTCGAGATGCAAGATATTGATCCGTATATAGTTTTTGTTATCAGAAATCTGATATTTTTTGAAGTATAATCGATTAAATCATGGTTGATATTTTTGCTAAAATTTAATACAAAAAATATGATATTTAATATAATGTTTACAGGTTTTAAAATATATGAAAATTAATTAGGCATTTCTTTTTAAAAAATACATACATATATAATTATCGAGTAGAGTATTCATTTGAAAAAATTATGATTAGATTGGCTACAAAAAGTTAGTTTTAAGAACTAATAGATCCTGTTTAAAAAAATAAATAATAAAAAAGCGACAAAATAAAACAAAAATTTATATATATATTTTAGCTTTTATCGTTCAATGAGTAATCTATAGATATAAGTTCAGAAGTATGGAAAAAGAAACATTCTTAAATCATTATTTTCATTAATTAAATATAAAAAGAAGTAAAAATAAAATTAACTTATAATTAAAATTATATTGATTATTTTTAATGATTAAAATAAACATATTGTAAAATAATAACAGAGCTATACCTAAGAGTAAAAATTTCTGATGCATGTTTTCGTATCTTGGCCACAGAAGTCTTTCGTATCTTCCTCTTCCTTTATCACTCGCAACATCTGCTTCGTGTCCTGCCATATTAGGATCACTGTAAAACCAAAATTTTAAAATAATAATGCCTGTGGCAAAAGTATAATTCTCTTATTAAATTAAAAAGACAAATTTATTAAAATTTCTAAAGTTTTAATGTTGTTAGTCATGATTACATAATTAGCTCTATATACATTATTTTCGAATCAATAATTAACTAACAACATCGACAATTACCAACATAAATACTTAAATATTTTAAATTCCTTCTAGAAATAAAATTATTTTGTTATTTAATTTACAGAAAAATCAAGACTAGAATTTAAAGTTAAACAATAAATTCTAAAGATTATTTATTTAATTTTTAATTAAATTTAATTGTATATAGGCTATATTTAGATTATTCTCTGTTAGAAGTCATAACATTAATTTTAATATAATTTAACAGAATTTAAAATGTTTTATTAAAATGATCAATAAACTATTAATAATTACGCTTTAATTTATCAACAAAAAGAATTTTACATTGACAGATACTCTAAAATGTATTAAATATTTAAAATATCTGCTTTTACTAGATCAAGTAATGAGAAATATTCTTCTTGTACTTTATCAGAACATGTTAATTTCGCAGTAATGTAATATGTTCAACAAAGATAAGTGTTCATTCTAATATTTAATTCGAAAAATGGTTCTAATCGAATCAATAATATGAGGCACAGAAAAGCATTAAATCAAATTAAGCATCATTAGAAAATATTGAAGCGTAGCAAGCTTCAATGCAAATGAGTAAATTGCATCAAGTATCAGCGAAAAGCGTCGAATTCATAATGCCCTAATAATTCTACACAATCATCCGCAAATTATCAGAAAATATTCCACATTAAATATTAACTAAAATATTTAACATTAACTCTAAAACAAGAGGATCTTCTCTCATCTGTTCGTACAAATCAGTAAAATTCTGCATTGAATATATTATATTTCATTCCGAAATATATTTAATTAAAAGCTAATAATATTAATCATCTAATTACTTGATTCATTAAACTCGTCTTATAGGTAAGCTTTATTAGTAAATTCTTCAAAGATAAGCATCTTTATGAAGATTTCCATTCGGAATGTTATTTAATTTAATAGAATAGAAACCTTGCAAACTAATATGATATTTGCATAAACCGCAGTACAATAATTATAGAGAATAAATTGTTCCTAGCTATACGAGAATTCCAGAATAGTTAGTAGTCTGTTTTGTGTCTTAAATGAGCAAATAATTTTAAGAGCAACAAACATGGCTGAGATACACAAAGAATACAAGCTCCAAATGTTTGCTAAAGTACCAATTACTGTAATTTCAATTAAGTTGGGAAGATACCATAAGGAGAATGTCCAAGTTGATGCTGTAATCACTATGAGTCTACAAATCACTTTTGTATCGAAGCGAAAGGAACAAAAAGCAGATGTGACAATAGATAGCTATCAACAGACATTTTTCTTTCATTTATCCAGTAATCAGGATATATCCTGTCCAATTCAATGTCTTCTTCCGAACGAACAATGTTCGACAGGATATAGTGTATTACATACTGCAATAATACAAAGGATCAGCTGCTGATGAGATTATGCCATAAATAAACATTATTATAGTTTCCAAGAAAGTCTCCTACTAATAAAGTTTACTAAATGCATTTCGATGTGTCGCTTCAGAAAATAGGAAACTTTAGGTTAAATAAAAGGATATATTTAAAAATAAAATAGATTTTATTATCTTTGACAAAAATAACAACCATTTAAAATATAAAACAGTTTAAAATTCCAATAAATTATAAAATTTACACCTTTTATAGCAAGTAATATTATTTTGTAATCTTTTAAAAAGTAAAATCTTAAATTTTATGTAAAAAAATATTTTAAAAATATTTTTCTAGACTTAGATAAGTTTTATGTTCGAAATTATGACATGAGCAACATTAAATATCAATTTAAAACTCAAATCATATTTTTTGCACCTTTATAGTTTTAGTACCAGTGAAAAATTGTAATAACAATTTTATAACCGAAATCAAAGTAAAGTAAATTTAACTTAAACCCAAACTGTTACTAATAACTCATTATTTTCGGATAAACGCTTACCCATTTCTGGCAAAATTTGTCCAATAAAGTACTACAGCTTCAGCCAACAAGATTTCAGCTCGAGTGTAGTTGCTATAAAAATGTCCAAGCTGTCCAATAAGAGGAGCACCGAAGATATATGGCAAGTCCTCGTTGTGAACACAACCCACCCTTTGGGAATAATGACTGTCCTCTGTTTGGTAGCCAAACACGTAATAGAAAGAGTTCGTCTTCACCAGAGAATGGTAATTACCCGCTCTGATTAAAGGAGCAACTACTAACGCGTCGCCAAGTGCATCAGATGTACCATCTAGAACGTTTATAGGATGTTGCACTGGCCTAGTCCAATCCGTATATTCGTTGACAATTGTCAAAAATATCTCTTGTAGATGATAAGTAAAAAGATTTCTTACCAAAGTTCTCAGTAAGCGGTCTCTGCGATCATTTTCAATACCGTGTTTTTCTTCTTGTGCCGAGAACTGAAAAAAAGATTCGACTCTAGAAACACCAAACAATAAATCGTATTGACCATACAATTCAGTATATTCTTCCATTAAGGCTGTTGGTTCATCAGGGACCATAACTCCATCTATAGTTGGACCGAAGGCTGTCAAATGTGCAGGGACTAAAAGTTGTACTCTCATAATGTCTGCAACTGGCCGCTCTCTCATGCAATCCACTAAAGCATTACTTTCCTGAATAGGACAACCTAGCACACGTGCTAAATGACGTGTATAGGTAAGAGCTTCACGAGCTATAGCCCATGGGCTAAGTGCAGATCCACTCTGAATAATAGCACGCTGAAACAATCCTGAAAGAAAATAAATATTTTTAGACGTCAGAGGTATCAACTAAAGCTAACAGTCACAAAAATCTTCTGAAACCATCTTATCAATCAACTGTATTCCAGACTAGAATAAATTTCATAAATAATTTTCTTCATTTTAAAAATTATAATTATAGTAAGATAAATTAAAATTTATTTTTCAAAACATGCGATAAAAATTAAAAAGTTTAATCGATTTTTAAGCCATCTTAATAATAACATATGAATAATCTTATTACGTAAGTAAAATGTAAAGTAAAATAAAGAAAAAAAATATATTAAAGATTTTGATTTTATTCATTTTTCTTTATGTTGTATTACTGTTTCTTCTGTGTTTTTTGTCCATTAATACGATTATGAAATTCGTAAAAGTTTTATTTAGTTTTTAAATAGATTAAAAACCGAACAGCGAATACATTTAATATTTTCTCTTCTTTATTTTATAACATTTCTTAAGAGGATAAAATACATATATATATATAAGTTTTAATTTATAAAATCCAAGTTCGTTTTTTGAAAGTAATTGAATTATCTCCATTAAATTAATTATATATTTCGAAGAGTAACTAATTAACTATACTTAATAAATTAATTTTTATTACATTATATGGTTTTCTTAAACATAATCATTTGTTATAGTCTATTTTTATTTTTAAATCTATGTATTTTATGTATTTATAAAATATTTTTAATTATAATATCAAAACTTTTATAATAAAAGTATTTATAGATAATAGATATTTTTAGATAAGAAATAATCTCTGTTTAATAACATTGAATAAAAATAAATCAAATAAAACTTAGAATGAAAACAAAGTTATAGGATAATGCATGTTATTTATTAATAAATGCTATTTTATTTAATATTTTTAAATCATTAATAATGATTTATCTTATAAGATATTTATTTATTGCCTTATGTTAACGAATAATTTTTAGTCTTCGGTTTTCAAGTTAAAATATTGAATAAATAATAACAAAAGTAAATAAACTTTTACAGTTAGAGGACATATAAAATATTAAAATTTAATTCAAATCAAATTATTAAAAAATGTATTATTCATTAAAACATGTTAAAATTAAATTTAAAGTTGAGAAATAATATTTTAAAAATATAATGTGCTTCCCAAGAACAAAGCAAAGATTAAAAAGAAAAAAAAAGGAAAATTAATAAATTTCCTGATAAAATCGTGTTTCAAAGTAATTTACATAAACCGAATTTGTTTTAAGTTCGAAGAATAAAAATTATTTATTTCTGAAACAAATTGTAAACCGAATTCAATACAACAATGATATTACATCTATTTAAACGATTTTTGGAAGATATCGACGTCAAAACTACATCATAATAGTTTAATTTCGTGACGGAATGAAAACTAAGTTTTCTTTTAATATTCTAAATCAAATCGAAATAAGAAACTTAAAAGCACACATAAAAAAAATTAAATAATTCAAAAGTAATCAAAAGAGTTAATCCAAACTTTTTGAAAAACTGAAAATACTAAAGTGAGTTTTACGTCATTTTTGCTCTGACATCTTTTCTTTAGAATCATTGATGAAAGAATACAAAATGATTTTTTCAGCGTCAAAAATGTGCTAGCGGTAAGAGAAAAAAAAGAAGTAAAAAAGTTTCGAAGTTCGTTCAATGACCCAGTGACTCTGCCACAAAAGGTGTTGGAAAAAAGAAGTGACGAAAGAAAACCGAAAGAATCTCACGCTTCTCTGATTCTCTGACAGACCTACAGGGTGAAGAGAGACAACTTGAATAGTAAGCGATCTTTTCTCGATTTCTCTCTTCTTGTTGAGAGTCCAATCATTTCTCAAGACGTTAGCATTTCACGCATGCTCTTAGGGGTCGTGTTGACAGAAGACTGAGTTTTGTGCACCAACGAACTTCCATAAACATGCAAATGAACTGTAGAATAAAAGAGCCAGCACCAATCGATTGCTGAACTAAAACGCACCATTTGACGTAACTTCTTCCCGAATCAACAAACCCGTCACGAAACAACACACAGGGCTTGTGGTTAAACTTTGCAACGAAATATTTAACAAAATAATTTCCAACAGACTACATTGTAAATCATGGGATGTATGACATTTTAATGTCAATATTGCACGCAGGTGGAAAATTTTATGAATAATGTAAACATTTCAAATATCATCTTTTAGCATGGCACCATTTTATTATTATTACGAATGTATTCAAATGTTCGTATACATTAAAACCCTACTCTTTATTTTAACTGTTAAAATGTAATGTTAATAAAATTAGCTGCCAGTTATTTCGTAGTAATCTAACTAACTTAGCTTATGATAAAGTAAACTCACATAAAAGTTTCTCGAATAATTACTATTTTAAAAGAACATAGTTGAATATTTATAAAAAATTAAACTGTGATTACTAAAATATTTTATTAAATTCTTAAATTTATTTATTACAATTATATATATTCAATTAAATAAAATAATCAATTAAATTATGTCTGTCATATCTTTAAAGTTTAGACCATAAGAGTCATTGTTATTTTATATAAATAATTATAATAAAATTAAAAAAATAATAATAATCTGTAAACGTAAAAGATTTTAATAAGAACATTAAAATCAAAAAATAAAATAAAAACGTAAAACTAAAAAACAAAATTATAAATCAAAGAAAATTAATGTAGCAGAGAAAATGATTAATGACTGAAAATATTAGTTTACAAAGAGAAAATATATAAAAAGTAATTACAAGTAATAGGATAATTATAATGTTAATAATGTAACACTACATAAAAATTTTAATTCAAATTTTATCTATAAAATAAATCAATTTATAAAATATTCTAAAGAATATTAATATATGTTTGAATTCACTATAAATAATAAAATAACAATAAATTTATGTTAAATTACTCTCATTATGTTAAATATAATAATAAATTAAAAATATATCATTTATAGCTTATGATATTTAAAAAATATATATATTTTACAAGTGCAAAACAATTTTATTGTAGGAGTAAATTTTGTGAAAGTATTCAGTTTGTTATTAATAATTTTGTCATCAACTTGGCACTGATTGAAAATTTGAAGAAGCTCTTTATACAACGCCATCAACTTTAAAGATTCGGAGAATATTGGTGTTGATCCACTTACCGATCTACAATATTTCTGAAATCGCTTTAAGGATCACCATCCTTTCTCCTAATTAGAACATATTCACTTATCTATTATTATACTGTCAAATTCTTGGACTTAATTATGTCTTACTACACATTAGAAAATCCAATTTATTATAATACTGAAATAAATTATTTGTGTAAAGTAATTTTTCCTATTTATCTGAGTCTTAAAAATTTCTGATGTCTCAAATACTGTTTAATTAAATATTAAGTCTTTTAAATCTTTCTTAATCTTAGTTTATATAAACTTAAATTGGCAATTTACGACAACATGGTTATTAAAAGAAATTGTTTTCGAAATTTATGTAACTAAATTACCTTTGGCCATTGGCGAAAGCATGAGAAGATTTACACACGCTGCACCTTGTCCATGGCCAAAAAGTGTTACATTTCTTGGATCTCCACCAAATTCTGCTACATTTTCCTGGATCCAATGCAACGCTGCTACCTGATCCATTAAACCATAATTTCCTCTTGCAGATCCTTCCATGGCAGGAAGGAATCCTAGAAACAATATCTAATCATTACTATTAATTTAAAAAATCATTACTATTAATTTAAAAAATATATATCTAATTAAAATTCACGTTTGTTGTAATTAATTTAATAGCATAATTAAACAAAATAAAGAAATAATAGCTTATTATTTGTAATTGAGAGAATGTATATTAATATAAAAATCACAACGTTATTTTGTTATATTTTTATATTTTTACTTTATAATTAGTGGATAGTTATATAATGATATCAGGATTTAATATTCAACACATCGCACTCAATATAAGAGATAAAGAAGGTAATATAGTAGATAATTAGTAACAGAGGTATGAACATTACATAGAATCTCATTATTATAATTAGTGTTTTTTTTTATAATTTTTCACTGAACCTACAAAATGTCATTAGGGTATTTTTTTTATTATTATTCTCGTAAAGAGCTTTCAAAAACAAAATGCTAACCTGATTCGCCATACGTGACAAATGCGCAACGAGATTCTTTTGTAAATGTAATAATTAATCAAATTTAACAATTTGAATTAATTATAATTAAAATATGTTCATAGAATTTTTTATTCAGATAAGATTTTAGAATAAAAGTGAGTTTTATAGATAAAAAAGATTTTGAAAAAATATATTATTGTTTGTTTTATACTGTATCTGATTAAAATTTAATACTCAATTCATGTTTGCATATTACAGAAAGCAAATGTGCTATAGTTATTAAGAAAATGAATGTTTAGAAGTGAGAGTAAACCCACCCCACTCAGCTTTCGACGTATAGGATGATAAAAGGCCAGATCGATTTTTCCAATCTGCCTATATCCCTAGCAAGCGCTTTGTATCCATTCAGAGGATGAGTAAATCTTAGAGCCAACTGTAAAAACCAATAGTGTTTCCTTATAAAAATCGAACCAGTTTCTTTTTTATATCAGTCATGTTCAAACTAAGCTACTAAAAGCTGTAGATCCATAATAATTTTCCATACTTTAAAATTATAAAATAAAATTTATTGTTACTTCTACCAAAAAAATGATTCTATTCTGCAAACATTTTCGCGAAAATTTATTAATTCTTGAAAGAACTAATAAATTTATATTTTTAAAATATGAATTACAATTATTCATTAAAATATTCTTAGAATTTAACACATGTTTACTTACTTAATCCGATATAAATAATAGGTATAATTTTAAAACTGTTATAAATGTGACTGCTTGTAATCGTCTTTATTCAAATCGTGATAAATTCTACTTACCAACAAGCTTGGAAGAAGTTTACATTTGTAGATGACATTAATTACTTTAATGAATTTTCTGATGAGGAATTTAAGAAAACAAACTTTTTAATCCTTCTTCATGGAGAATGAGTATCCAATGAATAGTGAAATCACAAATAATTATATTTTCTTAGCGATCGAAATAGAATTGTTGCTTGAATAATTTGAATTTAAGAAAAATATGATTTTGACGTGTTATGTGTAACAAAATAAAAATTCTCGACAATGTATTCGTATTAAATAAAATAGGAATTTTTATGTTCCATTGAAGCGTTATGAATAATAAACAGAATTCAGTTTATCTAGCTAAGTAAATGCAAGAATTTAAAAATTTAAAAATATTTTTTTAACTTTTTAAAAATATTTAAAATAAAAATGATTTATTCTTTTAATCAATTGTTTCACGACTTTTTAAACAATGATTAATGTTGCATTAATTATATCATGTTTAGAATAAATGCAATTTATCTTTAACTATTTTTGTTTGTAAATATATTTTTTACAATTATAAAATAAATTATTGCATTTAAATTTATTATTTAAAAACGGATTTTCACTTGAAAAATTCTATATATTTTTTCTTGTTTAATAGTATATGCATAAAATATAGAAACAAACTTATATTTAATGTTTAAAGTTGCTTTAAAGTCTTTAAACATTGCATGTAATTTAACAAATAAAACATCTACCTTTTCACTGTATATTATAATATAATAATAAATTAAATGTGTAGTAATTTTAAATATTTTCAAATTTATTATCATTATTGATAAATTGCAGTAATAGATAAAGAATATTTAAGAATATTTTAAAATTAATTTATAATTATTTACAAATTTATATCAATATATGGATCACGAACAAATGTTTTTCTAGTACAGTCAAAATTAGCTATTGCTCCTATATAAGTTACATGCTTTTACTACTAAATAACTCGTAAAAAGAATTAAAAATAAAGATGAATTACAATTAGAATAAAAGTGATATTATTTTGGATTAAATTCATGCTAATTTTAAACGTTTTCAAACTCATAATTATTATATTTATCAAACAACGCATTAAAAACTTTCTCAAATATATTAAGCTTAAATATGTCCGAAATTTCTATTACGTAAAACGGAAATTATTCGGTTGAAACATTTATAACAAAACGATATTCGATAAAGGGATTGAATGAATGCTATTTTAATTACAGTCATCAGTAATAAGAGACTGTTTTCACAGATAAGCAGAAATCAGTAATATTTCTTTCTCTAAGGCTTCGAAAAATTCTGACAATCGTATGAATCATTCGGATTCGACGTAATTTCTGAAAAGACTTAGATAAGCAGATAAATTCTCATTGTTTCATACTTAATATTTCAATTAATAATTTATGGATCCTAAGAAATTTTACTAGCGTAAATGATATTAAAAAAAAATTTCCCTTTTGGAATAGCCGGCTGACTAATTTTCTTTAGTTTCTTTATTCATTAAAGTTATGTTCAGAAGATTATAAATAAAAATATAAATTAGTTGCGTGCTAATTTAATTAAAATGCATAAAAATCTTTCAAATTACTAAAAATTAATTAAAATTGCCAATAAAATTTAAGCATAATACATTAAAATTATCAATTTAAAGTTTAAATAATTAAGGTTTAACGTTTTTTTGCTTTTATAATGAAAGCAAATTATAAAATAAAATTATTATAAAATGGTTAAAATTTAATAAAACTCTTTACCACTTTTAAAATTAAATAATGTATATTTTTAATTTTTAGCTAGATTTTCTTAACGATTATTTAATTTAAAATAAAACATACCCGAATATACAAAAAATTGGACATATATTTATAATAATTAGACAAAAATTTACCTTGATATCAATTTGTAAAGTTCATAATCATTGAATATATTTATGAAAAAGATTTTTAAATTATAAATTTAAATTCAGTTTATATTTTTGATTTGTCATGAAGAATTTCGTCATAAATATAAAATTAAATTACAATAATAATAAGCATCCTTTGCCTTTTATTAAAGAGAAAATTTAAATTTAATAATATTAGTAAGAATATTATAATAAAAATTAAATAATAATGGTTCTTAGATCTTAAACTACTAATTTATTTGTAGACAAAGATGAATTTTTATTTGTATTATTTCTAAAAGCATACAACAAATCTCAAGAGACTTATAATTTTGTAAGGAACTTTACACATTAAAAATACAGTAATTCACTTAATATATTTTTTTAAAAATAAAGTTTATTTAAAAAAATATTTGAATGTTTTATTTTTTGTGAATTTTCTAATGTGTAATAAACAAATGAATTATTAATGGATACAATTAACTAGTAAGATAAGAGAGATAAAATGTACAAATTAAGTAAAAACAATATTTGCAAATAAAATAGATATTAATTAATTACGATTATTAAATATAGAAATAAAAGAGCTAAAAATTTTAATTATATGATTTCTTAACGATGATAAAAATACACCTAATTATATATAATGTATTTATTTTTCTTAAATAAATATATATAACATTATTTCTTCTATCAGTTGATGTTGAAGTGATAATAGCTATAATAAATCTTAATTAACATACTTAAAACATTATAAAAATTAATCTTTTTAATAATGTTTTAAGATATTTATCTTATATAAAATAATACGAAGATAAAACCAAGAACTTAATTCTGCTTTTCCTGTCATCAGCCAAGATTATTGTATACATAAATGGTTCATCCGTAAAATTGATTTTTTTAAGATAATAAACACATTTAGTTAGAAAAGAAATAGAAGTAAGAGACAAAATTCAATAAAAAATTCTCATAAATATACATTAGGTTCTATGAATTTGAAACATGTTAGATATAATGTGAAAAACATTTTAAATGATTTTATTGAAACCTTACTGGAAGTGTAGAATTTTAATGAATATTCGAATAATAAAAATACGAAGATAAAAGTAAATTATTATATAAGGTTCATTTTAAATGTAAATATAAAATTATTTTTGGATCATTCTGTACCTATATATTATATATTATAGTTTAAAACTTTATATGTATATAAAAGAAAATATAAGGAAAGCAGAAAGTACATGCAAGTATAAGAATTCCTGTACATAACAGGTATAAAATTTTTTTAATTTACTGGAATTAAATATTTGATATGATTTTAATTATATGACAAAAGTAAACTATTAAACATTGATACGAATAAAACTAAATTATAATTTTGATTTCTATATAGGTCTATATTTCTTAACTGAAATTTTAAAATAGATCAACAAGATAGCCAATCTTGAAATCTAAAAGTCTAAGAAACTTATACTTTATTATGTAAAGAATATTTTAAGATTTAATGTAATTTCACTCTTCACTAGAATTTTATTGACGTTTTTCTCTTCTGTGTAGTGCCTAGAACTCCTGTTTTAACATTTAGGTATGTATTGAATGCAACGAATTAGTCATAAACGTTTATTCCTCCTTAATTTAAACAATTAAATAGATTTTCTGAATATCTAAATATTCGTTTTGCAAACTGCTCAGTATAGTCTTTTGTCTTATTTCTTTCGTATAGTATTTAAAAGAATATTGACAGAATTGAGTCCATATTAAACAGTGGCATAAATGTGACTCGAGAGAAAGTGAATCACGATATTTTTCTTTTTTAATTTAAATCTTTTCTACTATTTGAGTCAACTAATCTAAATTTCTACTAAAGAAGTCTGT